GCAGGCCGAGGCGACCCTCGATGACATCTTTCTCTTCCTGGCTTCTGATCTCTCTCTAGGCCAAGCAGTCCCTGGCGACGCTGACCAAGGACGTGCCCAAGCGGCACTCGCTCGCCATGCCAGGCGAGACGGTGCTCAACGGCAACCAGGAGTGGGTGGTGCAGGCAGACCTCCCGCTGACGGCGGCCATCCGGCAGAGCCAGCAGACACTCTACCACTCGCACCCTCCCCACCCCGCCGACCGGCAAGGTGAGCGTGGGCTTGGGGCTCAGGGGGCTGAGCCTGGGGTGGGTCCGCGGCCCGGAAGCACCATGAGGTTCAAGCAATATCAGATCCACCCTCCCTCTCTCTCTACTCCTCTGCTTCCACTTGACCTCAGCTTAGTCTGTCTCCGTCCACAAGGCAGGAAAATAGTCCCAGCAGCTTCAGGCTTTTCGCCTCTTAAAACATCTTCTCCCTGTGCCCAAAACAAATCCCAGAGAAGGACTCTGATTGGACTTGCCTGGACCACCCGCCCACACCCAGACCAATCAGGAGCAGGTCCCCTGCTTGGCTAGCCTGGGTCACATGCTCTCCTTGGGCCTGGGAAACCACTGAGCTTCGTCCAATCACAGGGCATAGAGGAAGGGCAGGCAGAACGGCCCCAGGTGTTGGCTCCTGAGCCGCACCTGGCCCCACCGCCCTCACTGACTCATTGTACTTACGCAGCCCGCCCAGGTGTGTCCCTTGCTCCTGCTGTGGGGCTGTAGTAGGCACTGCACAGTAGCCTGGTTAGTCCTCCGAGCGGTGTGGTGGGCACCACTGGCAACCCCATTTCATAACTGACAGACTAGGCAGGAAACAGGTTTCCGAGGCCACACAGCCTATCCCGGAACTCAGATCAGAGCCCGAGTTACTGATTCAGAGCCAGTATCCCTCCAGCCACCCCACCTCCTCACTAGACAGTAGCCAACGCACCGGCTTTGACACCACACCTCCTTCAGGGCTGTCACCTCACCTGCTTGCATGCTGCCTGCAGACCCAGACCCAAGAGCGGCCTGTGGGAGCCTTGGCAGGGCCTGTGGGCAATGGCCTCTGAACCAGGCCTTCTGGAGCAGCTGCCCCACGTTGGGCATTCAGCTATGAGGTTGCCACATGGCTAAGACACCCGGTGTGTCAGTGTGCAGACACCAACACACACACACACATGCACACGTGCATATGGAGCATGGTGGCAGGCAGCCTGGCAGAAATAAACAGAGAGCAGAGCCATCATGAGTGGGCAGGCCTCTCGGGCAAGCCGGGGCCATGCGGTGGACGGAAGTGTGTCTGCCAGCAACATGGGGGACCACACTCCTGTGGGCACAACTCCACCAGGGGGTATGTTACGAAACCATTATCAGGGTGCTCCAGGGGCTCCGGGCCCACCACGTGGAGTGGATTCTGACTCCCCACAGCCCGGTGGAGGGTTTCCGAGGCTGTCTATCTTTATCAGAGCCGACAGCTTCGACCTGTGCCCGATTATCATGGTAGGAAGTATCTCAAGCCAGTCACTCGGCAACATAGGCACAGAGACGAGCAGGAGTGAACGGGGAAGAGAGACCTCGTGGACATCATCCAGGACCAGGGCAGCCAGCCAGCTGAGACGAGGATGTGCCCAGGGTGGACAGAGAGCTCTCCTGTCAGCCAGCGCCTCTTAAGCTGTGAGGACCTGAGTCTGTTTGTCAGGTCACACACTCAGTATCTCGGGCAGGACTAGCTCGCTAAGGCAGACTTGGAAAGGGGCTGAGGAGGAAAGAGGTGGCAGGTCAGGCACTTCCAGTCTAATGGGACTCAAGGACAGTGACCAGGGACAAGGCTGGGCAGTTGGCAGGGCTAGGTCACATTCCGCCTCAGAAGCCCAGGGAGGAGCGGCCCCAGAGTGGTCAGACTGTGGCTTTTGGTACTGAGTGAAGAGTGGCCTTGAAGGGCCAGAGGGAAGCAGGAGGGGCTTGGGCTTGGGGGTTCTGCTGGTGGCTGGGAGAAGGAGGCAGTGGTGGGCTCCAGGCATCCAGGAGGGGAAGCTGGTGTTGGCCAGTTGGCTAGGATGGTGCAGTCTAGAGAAGATTCTGGGGGAGTGCAGCAATGGTGAACCAAGTCGCAGAGGGGTCTGCAAATTCTGGCATCTTCCCCCTCACCTGGTGAAGAGGGTCTCCCAGGCAGCTCCAGAGGGGCCGGGAGGGTTTTCCCAGCAGCTGCTATATGATGACTTGGTGGGGCGGGGGTGGGGGTGGGGGTAGTCCCTTGCCTGCTCCGTGTCCCATCTGAAGAATAGGTGCATTGGGCAAGAACATTCCCACCACCCCTGCCTTACCAGCCACCTCTGCTCCCCAGCGGTCAGAGTGAGCCCCTGCCACTCCCGGCAGCCCTCTGTCATCTCCGACGCGTCTGCCGCCGAAGGTGACCGGTCATCCACACCGAGCGACATCAACTCCCCAAGACACCGGACGCATTCCCTCTGCAACGTAAGGCCAGCAGCCGCTGGGCGGCCCAGAGCCCTGCCCTGAGACCGAGGGGGGAGGGGACAGGGGTCCAGACATACCGATGTTTCCTCTCGCCCCCCCAGGGAGCACTCTGGCGAATGCATTTCCTGTTCTGTTGTTTCCTTTGCAAGAAGCGATGGAGGTGGGGAGAGAAGGCAATGAGGCCCATTTGCTCCCTGTGTCCAGGAGGGCAAGGACAATGGAGACACACGCGCCCTGTATCCCAGAGGAAGGCAGGCCGGGCTTGGTGGCCACAGGGTCCCTGCAGCCCAGGACTCTGCCTCTGGGCGGCATGCTTGGGGCACTGGGCTTCCCCTCCCGAGCAGTCTGCTCAGCATCTCATGGCTGTGACAGCATCACCTCATTGCCCTGTGGAGCCAGCTCACGGCGCTTCATCCAGGAACGGAGCGGGCTCCCAGCTCTCCGTAGATGGGTTCTGTTTGTAAACTGGGGATCGGACTAAAGACTCAGCTCCATTTGTCACCTCGGTGCCATCAGCCCTCTTCCTTTCCCCATCTCAACAGGTGTGCGCACACACGTAAGCCAGAAAGAACACCCAAAACGCTCTGCTGACCTGGCACCAATAGGAACAGCCTGGCCTGGCCTAAGGCCCTCCCCACCCACTGTGCTCTGGCCACTAATGTAAAACAGAAGTGGGGTCTCAGCACAGAGAGGTTGGGGAAAGTGGGTGGACACTGGCCCAAGTAGCACACACTTTGCTTCTCCATAGCATTATGCCTGCAATTCCAGTAAGCAACCACCAGGGGAGTTCCCTAGAAGGGATTTCCCCTTCCCAGTTCATTTTAGTATTCTGGAGAAGTAGCTCATTCATGAATCTATTCTAATTTTAGTAAATGGCCCTTAGCTGTATTTGCTTTGCTTATTTGTACAATTTATAAATACTTCCGGATTGTATATTGGGCTCCACCTGCCAAGAGGCCTG